CATTTCTAGAATTTTAAGCTATTATTTGGAAAATTTTTGGACTGTTTGTTTACCTCCGAGGTCATGAACCTTGAATCTTGCGTTACATTGTAGTCAACAGAAATGACCAGGGACTTCGCTGCGATTCCTGATCATAAATGGTTACAAAAGATTTTTTAATTTCTAGGCGCGCCGTAAAACATTTGTGCTTGCAGTCTTTCTTACTCAGTTTTAGCGAGCAAATTGAATATATATCAAAGATTTCGATGCATGTTTGCTATTATTTGTTTTGGAAYAAAATTTCATAAATGGGATTGCTGAGTGGCAGTTTGTACATTCTAATAAGGTTCTATAACTACGCACAAAAATCCCGTGAGAATGTTGTTTTTATCACTATATTGCTGTGAAACACTCAAAATAAATCAGTAGTAAAATGGAAGCGCACTGTTCATTTTACACGCTTGTTGGAGGGCATTGTACCTACGATCGGAGAGACAGGAAGCACTCAACAGAGATAGTTCCTTTGTTAACGTGCAAAAAAGATATTTCTTCTCACAAATCACTTTGGARCTTTCAAGATGTTGACAATGAAGTTGATTTAATTCTTGCCCGTGCATCAATATTTGAACGCTCGGAAAACATCGAGTCAATAAGCATTTGTCCCTTCCATCGCCTCACTCTTGGAATTGGATGGAAAAGAAGTAGTACCAGGTGTAGCGTTCCTCAAATGCTATCTTGTCATGCCGGTAAAGCAAAATTACCAAAGGGGGACCGAGGAATGTCAAAAGTACTCTCTCGCCAAGTAAAAAACCAAAGGGGTATTTTGATTCCAGTTGGTTCAGGTAATATCAAGTAAATCGATAACTTTTCATTCCTGAGAATAAAGACATTTAAATATTAAGATGAAATTATTTATGGTCAAGGGTTGTGCCGATCGTGCAGAGAGAAACTTCAAACCTTTACTGAAGTACAAGAAGATGAAGAACACTCAACAAACAAGGAGGAAGCAGAGGAAATCAAAGGTCTGATTGACGGAATGTACAACTTGAGTTTGGTAAGCAGCAACTAGTTTTCTTTATTCCACACCATTCAAAATACTTAGACCGCAATGCTTGATGGGTACACACCGTAGAATATACCACCAACTATATAACGACGTCCTTTCTGGATTCTGATTAGCCCGCCTATTTTCAATGGTTTGAGACAGATAAATGTGAGGCCGCTGATTCAAAGAACTTATTAAATGGGATAGGTTTGATGTTATTTTCTTCAGATAGCATTTGTATCCCATATTTCTT